TCACAAAACACCACTGCAACTACAACTGAAACAACATCACAAAACACCAGTGCAACTACAACTGAAACAACATCACAAAACACCAGTGCAACTACAACTGAAATAACATCACAAAACACCAGTGCAACCACAGCTGCAATGACGTCACAGAGTACCAGTGCAACTACAGCTGCGACGACATCACAGAGCACCAGTGCAACTACAGCTGCAACGACGTCACAGAGCACCAGTGGAACTACAGCTGCAACAACAACATCACAGAGCACCAGTGGAACTACAGCTGCAACAACATCACAGAGCACCAGTGCAACTACAGCTGCAACAACAACGTCACAGAGCACCAGTGTAACTAACACTGCAACAACAACGCTGCGAACCCCTATTGCAAACACTGTTACACTTGTGATCAATAGCCCGGCAGCCTTTCCACCCGACAGCAGCGTGACCCCATTGAGGCCTGTCCGGCCACCACCAAATACAAACAACCCGCGAGTAATCCGTGAAGTTAGTGGCACCGTGACACAAAGCAGGTATCACTGCAATCATTTCTATAAAATGAGTGGATGAGTGAATGGAATAATGATTGGAAGGATGGGTTATGCATTAGGAGGGGAAAACATTGAAGACAGAACATTTATTTTGTAGCATCTTTTGATATATTGCTGTTGCAACTGTGCTGCCGTAAGAGTGAACTTTTAATGAAAGTAAGCTTTGAATTGCATTGTTAGTGACAGATTTACCCAAGTTTATACACTAGGAACAATTTCCTCTTATAAAATGTGTTGTATTTAAGATTAACTTGGCACCAGAGACATACCATTTCTTGCTTTATTTTGTCATTCTAATTGTTCATCACTTTATTCCTAAAGAGTATGTCCTTGATTTGTTTTTTTCGATCAATTACTGCTTTTGGAAAATCAATGGTGCTTGTATTTTAAATATGCCGGCAGGATGAGGGTTAAAAGTGTGACTGTCTGTTGTTGAAAACCAGCCATAAGTGGTGGTTACAAGAAGTTGGCGCTTTTATTTATTCCAAGATCCTCCCAACACATCTTCTACTTTCACCATAAACTAATGAATTGTATATCTGTGACATGAGTAACAGTGGGGAAACAGCAGCACAGTTTGAAATGAGTCACAAACTGGTTCAGTAATGCCAATGTTGTCTCAACTTGCTTTTCAGTGAGATCAGTAACCGCAGAATAGCCGACCTATATCAAGTAAGTTAACAATTCAATGCATCCGTCAGCTACAGTCAATGAATAGAAAGATTACCTGAATCCACCCTGATTTGTGTCTCAATAGGGAATAGAAGTGTCATGCAACATAAAAACTGCAATAAGGTAAGTGAAATAAAACTTTTCAAATTATTCAAACAAATGTATTTTAATCTGTTAACGCTCATGTTGTGTTTCAGAAACACCACCTGTACTGTGACGCTGAGTCTGAGTCGGAGAGTTCCTCCATGTTGTATCCTCCGTGTTCTCTGTGCAGCCAGTAAAAACTCCACCGACATCCACGTGGTGGGAAACAGGATCGATAGAATAAGTAAGTGTTGCATACTCTAGAACACACAGTTATCTGGCTAATAAATTCAATAATGCAATCAATCCTCTATGTTGTTGACTAGATCAATTTCGGAATGAGTGCAACATCAACCCAGAAGAGGCGAACAGTTGCGTTTATCACGGCCAAACCAATACATCATGGTAAGGTGTTTAGCATTTACTGTGTTTTTGCTTCTTTCTAATTAAATCAACATGTATATGATGTTGTTGGGGTTGTGGTACATTCTTAATCTTTTCATTAAATGTGTCTTCTATCTTTCAACAGCATAGAGTCTGAAGATGCATATGTGGTTCCACATAGCAACTCAACTACTTGTGGTGCAGGTGAGCTCTGAATGTTTTGTTTAAACATACCGAAAGTGCACAAAGTCATACAAATCTTTAGATATTTTACATGTTGATGTGTCTAAGATGGAATTCAAAATTATCCAGAATGTCCAAAATACATAAGTTTGTCTAAAGTATTATATACATTTGGTCTGTTCTCTTAATTAGGCTGTACTGTTAGTGAGGCCAAGTCCACACAACAACACCACTAAGCACTGTTGAGAGCATGCCAAACAGCAGGCAGTGATATAAACCTGACTCTAAAGCCATGTTGGCGAATAAAGATTTGAAAAAAGTTATTATCGGTTGCAGTGTGGAATCCTACATGTGGACTGATTCTGTTGCCTCTGTTTCTCAGTATCTAGATAGACTAACTGTACATTTATGTGTAAACAAGTAAAAGCTCCTGTGAGCAAGGTGAGCACCACCACCACATCATCTTATGTAAGCAAAGGAGATAATATCAAACATCCTGCCATCACAAACCAAAACTCTGTTTTTCTCTGGCTACGTCTCATTATTGAGTTTTTGGAATATATTCCTGGAAGGAGTTTTCCTTGGAAGGAGGAAGGAGTTTTGCAAAACTGTCGATGAAATTCCTCTTGACCTTATCAGAAACTCTGAAGCTACATTCCACACTTTAACAAAGGAGCTTCTGCAGACTGGAATGTCTTTCTTCACAAGGGCCAGGCATCGCTATTGTTGACCTACTTACGTAACACACGAGTTGGTCGGCTTTGATCTCAGCATTTTGTTTATCTGCACACAAGTTAACGTAAAAGTAATTCATTACAAATAGATGACATATACAAAATGATTACCTGTAAGCTTAAGACTGAATTTCCTGCCAAGTTAAGCAGTTGCTGACTCACTTCAGAAGACCGCAGGTAACTTTATCGTTTTCTATTCAGCCTGATTTTGAAAGTCTCTCCTGTAGCAAACATCTTTGTCTGGCTGAGAAAGACACATTTGATCAAACAGGACCCACAGTCTGAGGGAGGCATGAGAGAAAGCAGAACCAGATACAAATGAAACCTTTTTTTTGACAACACAAAGACCCAAGAAACTATCAGTCCTGATAATTGCTGTGTACAGATTCTCTAACTTGACTAAGCTTTGTGGAAATGGAGGGAATAACACTGAAATAGCTCTGATAATAATTCATAAGAAAGTCAGAAAGTCAGAGAAAGTGTAGATTAGTCCTTATTCGTCCTCATTTCTCCTCATTTTATAGCTCAATGCCACAAAATGTGAGAAACTAAGACAGATTTAACAAAGCATGAAATGCATGAAATCGCTTTAATTCTGCCCCCGCTGATCTTTAGATACAATAAACCAACATGTTTTGTTTGCTTTGTTTCAGGCAACAGGAACTGCAGCTGCTCTGCTTACTGCAACGGATCCGGTTAGTGTTTAATCCCTTAACAAACCCTCGATTTTCTTCATCTAGATAATCAGTCTGAAAGCTTTTTATGACGTCATTTTGTTTCTTTGATTTCAGATGCATACTACACTTTTCAAATTTCAACACGAGATCCCAACATGAACTCTTCATATGTCTCCTCTGTGGTAACTGTTCACACACAGAACATGCTTAAGTTCATGTTTCACTATTTTTCAAACTGCATAAATCAGTCTTTGTTGCATGAAACTCTCCTAAATCTCTTGAATTCTTTCAGATTTCTGAGGTGAAACAGCCGCCACCGTGCCTGTCGATAGAAGAGTAAGTTTACATTCGAAAAACATTTAGAGTCAAATTTTACATCAATAAATACACTTCATTAAAATTAAATTGCATTTGTCGTAATGTCTCTTTGCAGTTTTTCGTGTCCAGTGCCCATCATTGCATCCGAATACAAGGTAACTGTTTCTCTTTGCTCTTTTATCAAAGGCCACAAAAAGGAAATCTTAAAAAAGGTTTTTTTCCTATTATAAGTACTAAAATGTACATTTCTCCTCAGAATGTCAGTGTTGCCTGTAGAATGATAGCAGAAAGGTGAGTCTGATTGTGTTATAACATCTCAGTAGTTTTGTGAGACCAACATTTCTGTGTACTGATACATGTGAAGACGAACTGAAATCTGTGGACTTTTGATTTTCTCTTTCTAGTGTTCAAAGCTGCAGAGTGATTTTGAGATTTGCCCGTGAGGTTCCTATCTGCGCTGTGGCAACAGCTGTGAAGAATGTGCTTCAGTCTGAGAGACAAATCCTTTTTGATGGGCGAGTAATCCGAGCAGGTGTGTACATTAGCCACAGAAAAACAAGTTAGTCTGTTCTTACAGTCAAGGAATGACTTCAGCGGTGTCCTGTATAACTTCTCATTTACGTTTCTTCTGATGTTTCGTGCAGCGCTTTGTGGGAATTTAGAGGCAGGCAACGATCCGCTGCAATCCCAGTTCACTGGTTCACTGGTTGCCATTAACCTGACCCCTGCTCACTTTTGTACAGCGATAGAAGAGAGTAACGTCCTCAGCTGGTTTGTATGATCTTCCTTTCACAATATCGTGTGCACAACCAAATCTTTCTTCAGGGCCTGATGTAAAAATACACATGATCTTAAATTTTCTTCTTTTCTTAACAGTCAAAGTGGAAAAAATGTGCTGGTGCTGCTGCGGGAACGGTGTGTTGTCCCGGTTGGGTTTACCACAATCAGCCCAAATGTGACAACCATACAACCAAACAGCACCACACTGTCTGCAAATACAACTTCATCCCCAATGAACACAACAACAGCACAACAGAACACAACAGAAGCCCTGAACACCACCACCACGGCTGCTAATGTCACACTGACAACAACACTCAACTCCACTACGAGCACCACCAATGATTCTACTTCTGTGACCCCATCGGAGACTCCAACAACCACTGAAACAGGTGTGTTATCTTCTCGGCACTGTGTTGCAACACTTGTAAAATCACAGCGTCACTGCAGTAATCCTCTAAACTGTCTTGACAGACGCTGAAGGCCAAGCCAACGCCCTGCTTGAGCTGACCAGAAACGTGTCCCAGCTGAACTCTAGTCAGGTGGATCAGCTGGTTTCTCAGCTGGAGGGTCTTTTGTCGGGTCCAAATGTGAGCCTGGGGCTGGGAAACACCTCTGTCAACATCGTCAGCAATCTGCTGGATGCTACACCAGAGACGCTGTCGAGCTCCTCCAACAGGTTACAGATGAACATATATGAATATATATAGATTAATCTGCAACATATTGTGTATGGCTGGCTATATTTTTTGCAGACTATCACACTTGGGGGCACAAAATACTTAAATAGCTGGAGGACAATTGTTATTTTGGGGGTCATGTGACTTTGCATGCTTGTTGCTCTAAGATTCAGGCCGCACACAGATTTCACTGTTTAGGTTCAAGCTAATTATCTCAAAACTCTAACAAAAATACAATCGTTCAGCTTTTTTTTTTACTTTATTCTAATAACCAAGTAGCAAACATTCCCAAGCCTTGTACTGCTGTAACTAAAACTGCAAAATAAATATTACAAATTATTCTAAATATTACAAATGCTCCATTTGTGGCCGTATTAGCTGCTGCAAAGATGATGCCAAATAAAATTTCATTGATTCTCTTGTACAATAACAACATGATTATTTTGGAAATACTAATTCATTTCCTTTTTTTTTTTTTCACCAGGATTATAGGGATTGTTGACACAGTGGGGTTAAAGCTGGTTATTGGAGAAAATGCTGAGACTCTGCTGTCCCCATCTGTGGCTCTGTCTGTGAACCCAGCAGATGGCGCTAACTTTCAGGAAACTGTTTTCTCCATCTCAGACCCCACCAACGTACAGGTATGACATGAAGATTGCAGTTTTTAATAAGTATTTTATGGGCGACACATTCCAACACTCACGGCGTTTGCTGTCTAGAGAAGCTCGATGTACAATAAGTTGTTGTAAAGCTATTTTGCATCAGTGTAGGTGTTTTACATAAAAGATTTTGCATAAGAAAAACAAAACCGTTACAGATTAAGTCAGGGGTTTGGTCCTGTGATCTGTTTCTGCGTGAAAACATGCAGCAAAGTCAATAGGACAAAAATTCTGGCCTTTTTTCCACAATGACATGAGTTTTAGTGTGATTTTTTTAGGTACATCCCTGGATTACACTTGTCACTGTAATGCTGTTTTGAAGAGGAAATGAGTTGACCTGTGGCAGCTCTGCTACTGCAGGCAGACAGATGTCAGTTGCCCCAAATAAAAAATAAAATAAAAAATTGGGGATGAGGATAAAATCTGTCTGTTATGCTTGAGACTGTCTGACCATGTTCCATGTGTGCTGCAGGTCGGTGGGGCTACTAACCTGAGGAGGAAGAGGAGTGTGAGAACAGACTCCTCCATCCCTCAGGGCTCCATCAGGCTGCCTCCCTCCCTCACCCAGAACCTGACCTCCGAGGAACAGCAGCTGATCTCCAGAGTCCAGTTCAATTTCTACCAGAGGAGCACAGTCTTCCAGGTCTTCACCTACAACACACATCACATCAAGAACATATAGAATTTGTTTGTGGTTTCACATTAGATCCCAGATTCAGAGTTTTAAAGGAAACACATGGACTGTGTTTTAAATTCTTGGTGTGACGTTGTCTTTGGTCGACTTGTGGCCATACAGGACCAATCCTTGGGAGATCGCAGACTGAACAGTGGGATCCTGGGAGCAAGTGTGGCCAACCTGACAATCACAGGACTGCAAGAAAATGTGACAATTCGCCTAAGAAACACAGAGCCTATTCCAGTAAGTCCACTTTAACAAACTGGTTTCAGCAACAGCTCCTAACTTAGAAATATAGACTTTTCATCTGAGAAAAGTATTAATTTGATGCTGCGCTACCTGAGGCTTTGGGCTGCATGCTCCTATTCAAATACGTGTGTTCAAAAACAAAACCAAAAACGGAATCAGTTAAATTTTTGCATCAACTGAGTGTGTGTGTGGGTGTGTGTGTACGGCTGCAATTCAAATACAGATATTAAAAGAGCACTGTAGTACAAACAAAAACATGATGCAAAATCAGAATCTGTAAACTTGTGTCTTTTTTTCCCCCCAAACTCCAGGCGAACTTTGTGGCAACGTGTGTTTTCTGGGACTTTACATTCAATAGTAAGTTATCTAACAGTTTCTATGAGATTAAAGTAAACAGAAACAAACAGATAATCAAAATTTGTTTTTTTATCTGCGTTTTCTGCCACCAGATAATTCAGGTGGTTGGAATTCAGATGGATGTTTTGTCCAAAACAGCACAGACAATGAGACGGTTTGTGGCTGCAACCATTTAACCAGTTTTGCTATCCTGCTGGTAAGGAGATCGTTTTTTTGTCATTATTTTTAATGCATCTTTATTCCTTTTTCATAATTTGATAAGCATTATAACACAATTCTATCTCTCTCAGTTTCATTTTTATTTATTTACTTTTGCTACTCTTTCTTACAGGACCTCTCCAGACAGCCTCTGACCAGCCGTGTCCAGGCCACCATCCTCACCTTCATCACGTATATCGGCTGTGGAGTCTCTGCCATCTTCCTGTCCGTCACCCTCCTCACCTACTTGGCCTTTGGGTGAGTATTGAGAGCTGTAAAAAAAGAATCCACATTATTATGTTAGGATTCATAATGGGGCTGAATGTATTGTTGTCTGCTGGCCACAGAGTGTTTTTCAATCAGGCAAATGAACAAGCTTATTTATATAGCATCTTATCATAGATATACACTACCGGTCAAAAGTTTTAGAACACCACACTTTTTCCAATTTTTTACTGAAAATTATTCAGTTTATTGTGTCTTTGCATTCTGAAATGAAAGCATAGAACAAATAAGCAATTTTAGTTGAAAAATAAATCATGGAATCAATTTATAGACCAAAATATATTCCAAACTTTTGACTCATCAAAGTAGCCACCTTTGGCAGATATAACAGCTGAACACACTCGTGGCATTCTTTCTACAATAG